GTTTCATAGTGTTGTGATCAGAAGAGATGCATAATATGACTTCTATCTTCTTGAATTTGTTTTGATGTGATCTGTTCTGTAGAATGTCCCATGTGCACTTGAAAAAAAAAATGTGTATTCTGCTGTTTTAGGATGGAATGTTCTAAATATAACTGTTAAATCCATCTGGTCCAGTGTGTCATTCAAAGCCATGGTTTCCTTGTTGATTTTCTGTTTAGATGATCTGTCCATTGATGTAAGTGGTGTATTAAAGTCCCCGACTATTATTGTATTATTATCAATTAATTCTTTTATGTTTGTTATTAACTGTTTTATGTATTTGGGTGTTAGGTGCATAAATATTCACAATTATTTTATCTTCTTGTTGAATTGTCCTCTTTATTATCTAGTGTCCTTCTTTGTCTCTTGTTATGATCTTTGCTTTAAAGTCTGATATAAGTATTGTTACTTCAACTTTCTTTTGGCATCTATTTGCATGACAGATGTTTCTCCATCCCCTCACTTTCTTTTATTTTTAAGTTTATTTATTTATTGTGAGAGAAAGAGAGAGAGCATGAGCAAGGGAAGGGCAAAGAGAGGGAGAGAGAGAGAATCCCAAGCAGGCTCTGCACTGTCAGTGCAGAGACTGATGCAGGGCTTGAACTCATGAACCAGGAGATCATGACCTGAGCTGAAACCAAGAGTCAGATACTTAACCGACTGAGCCACCCAGGCACCTCTCCATCCCCTCACTTACAATTTGCAGGTGTTTTTGGTCTAAAAATAGATCTCTTGTAGACAGCATATAGAAGAATCTTGCGTTTTTCCTCCTTCTGTCACCCTATGTCTTTTGATTGGAGCATTCAGTCCATTTAAATTCAAAGTAATTACTGAAAGATATGTACTTATTGCTGTTTAATTATTTTGTGGTTGTTTCTGAAGATTTTCTCTGATCCTTTCTTGTTTTTCTCTCTTTCATGGTTTGCTGATTTTCTTTTTTTTTTTTTTTTAATTTTTTTTTCAACGTTTTTATTTATTTTTGGGACAGAGAGAGACAGAGCATGAACGGGGGAGGGGCAGAGAGAGAGGGAGACACAGAATCGGAAACAGGCTCCAGGCTCCAAGCCATCAGCCCAGAGCCTGACGCGGGGCTCGAACTCACGGACCGCGAGATCGTGACCTGGCTGAAGTCGGACGCTTAACCGACTGCGCCACCCAGGCGCCCCTTTGCTGATTTTCTTTAGTGATGTATTTGGATTTCTTTCTCTTTATTCTTTGCATATTTATTAATGTTCTTTGATTCTGGTTACCATTAAGTTTGTGTATAACATCTTCTGCATATAGGAGTCTATATTTAGTTGATGGTTGTTTAAGTTTGAACCCATTCTTTACTCCTCTTTTTCCTTACTTTAGGTACATGTTGACATATTTTACATCTTTTTTATTTTGTGAGTTCTTGGACTGATTTTTTATAGAAATATTCATTTCTAGTGTTTCCTACCTTTATACTGTCACTTTCGGTTTCTCCTTTCTACTCAAAGAGTCCTCTTTAATATTTCTTGCAGGGATGGTTTAGTGGTCATTAATTCCTTTAGTTTTTGTTTGTCTGGGAAACTCTTTATCTCTCCTTCTGTTATGAATGATAGCCTTCCTGGATAGGGTATTCTTGGCTGCAGATTTTTCCCATTCAGCACTTTGAATATATCATGGCACTCCCTTCTGGCTTACAAAGTTTCTGTTGAAAAATCCCCTGCTAACCTTATGGGAGTTCCTTTATATGTTATTGTCTTCTTTTGTCTTGCTGCTTTAAATTTTTTTTCTTCATCATTGTATTTTGCCAATTCAATTACAATACATCTTGGTATGGATCTGCTTTTGTTGATTTTATTGGGGGTTCTCTGTGCCTTCTGGATCTGGATATCTTTAACTTCCTCGGATTAGGGAAATTTTCAGCTATTATTTCTTCAAATAAATTTTTTGCCCTCTTTTCTCTCTCTTCTTCTTCTGGGACTCTATAATACGAATGTTACTATGTTTGATGGATCACTGAGTTCCCTAACTTTATTTTCATGTTGTATAATACTTCTTTTTCTTTTATTCAGCTTCATTACTCTCAATTCCTCTGTCTTCTAGGTCATTCATTCATTCCTTTGCTTCTTCCAGCCTTCTGTTCATTTCATCCAGCATGTTTCTCATTTCCTTTATTGAGTCCTTTGTCTTTGCTGTGTCATTCCTTAGCTCAGTGTTAAGGATCTCACTCATGTCTCCCACTCTTTAGTCCAGTGAGTATCTTTATGATCATTGCTTTAAATACTCCATCAGGCATGTTACTTATATTTTTTTTGCTTAGATCTCTGGCCGTGGCCTTGTCCTCTTCTTTCATTTAGGATAAATTTCTCTGTCTTCTCATTCTGCCTAAGTCTCTGTACCTGTTGCTGTGTGTTAGGGAAGTCAACTCTGTCTCTGTTCTTGAGGGTAATGACCTTATGAAGAATAGATCCTGTAATGCCCTGCCACTTGGTGTCCCCTGTTCCCCAGGGCCTGACACTTCCATGAATGTCTCCAATGTGTGCTGCATATTCGCTGCTGTTTTGCTCTGGCTGTTTTATCCTTCAGACCAGTCATCTTCAGAGGCTCTATTTGCCTGTTGTGGGCAGTGTTTCCTCCCTGTGCTGAATGTGGTGCATTTTAACTAGGTGTGCTCTGGTCTGCTTGTGAAATGAGACCTGTTGCCACTGCTGCCAGAATGGAGGTTCTGCAAAACTTCTGAATAGGGAGGTGCAGTGTGAACGGGGATTTGGGCCAGTCTTCTTAAGGAGGGGCCCACCATGCTGGGACTGAGGCAAGTGTGACTGGGAGGGGCAGATCCTCCAGAGCATGGTAGGGTGGGGCTTGGTGCAAGCAAGTTAGATAACCAGTGTCAGCACTACATTGGTTCCCACAGGAGGCCCCGTGCTTGTGCTGAGAGGCAGGGGAGGGAAATGGCACTAGCCAGTTCCTTTGTTCTTGGAGGTCATTCTGTGAATGCTGTTTCTCTGGGACACTCTAAATTACCTCTCCACTATGTCCCCCAGGTGCTCTTCAGGTTGTTATTTCCACATTGTATGTGCACGGGTTGTTTGCCTGCCTTCTCTGCAAGAGAAGCACAATGTCTTCTGGGCTCTATCCTAGCCAACCTGGTGATCTTTAAACTCAAGGCTTTAAGCTGTGCTGGTCACTAGAAGTCACAAAATTCAGCCCCTCTCACTTTCCAAGCCAATTGCTATGGAGATTTGTTTTCCCTGTGAGCTCTCCTGTGTGCTGTTCTGTTTCTTGCCCTTCTCCACAACCGCAGCTCTTTCCCCACTGTGTAGACTATGATCCATTTCTCTCCCAAACTGTGTCTCCACACTTCCTACCTTCTTTGATATAGTCTTTCCTCTCCCTTTAGTTGTGGCATTTGTTCTGCCAGTCTTCAGGTCAATTTCTGGGATAATAGAATGATTTCATAGCCATCTAGTTGTATTTGTGGGATGAGATGAACCTGGGGTTCTCCTACTCCACCACCGTCTTCCAACCTCTCTCGTCGAGGCTCTTTGAACTAGTGACAGGCAGAACCATGAGGAATGTAGTTCTTCTGGATTCTATGCCACCATCCTTTCTACCAAATCTCTCTCTGTGGTGCCCCCAGGCTCTGTCTTAGCCCTATGGATAAGAAATGGAACCAGCAGCTGAGCAACTGGGTATGGTTGTGCCTTGCACAAGGACACCCCATCAAGGCCAGGTACCCTGACCTGGGGCTTTTCTTTTTGGTATTTTCTACTTGGAAATACCATGCTGTGGGCTGGCTTTAGCCCTGGCCACCAGTATGACAAACTCTGTGTGCCAAGGCTCTCTTGCTTTTTCCTCTGACTCTTTCAAGGTCCTCCTCCCAATTCAGCCTCATCTCAGCTCTGGTGGGTACAGTGCAGACCAGTGAGTTTTTGATGAAGCACATCCGTAGAATTGTGGCGCCTGACAGTTTTTCCAGTAGTCTGTGTCCTCAAAGTAAGTTAGATAAGACAGGAAACTGTAATTGCTTGTCCAGGCCACTAGGGTACCATTAAGGAAATTACTTCCTCAGTAAAATTTAGTAAATTACAGTTGTAATTTAGTAAAAAGTAGGCTACTCTTTAGTAAATTAGTGTTTCAGGGCGGTTGGAATAATTTACTGCACAGAACTTAGTGAATGGTATCCCAGTGACCTAAAATCTTTAATGCCCCTTCTAGATGAGCCTGGACAAGGGGGAAATCTTCTGTGTTGGGAAAGAAGTGTCTAGTTTAATTATAATTCATGAAGAAGGGAAAGACCAAGGGTCCTTAGGAGGTGAAAGGGTCCTCCCTGCATTTTTAAGGAAAGATTTCTTGAACAGCTATAGCTCCACATGAATGGATACAAGCTTTCAGAGCATTCCAGAGCCTTTCAAGTTTCAGGAAAAATAAATTTTAAGGAAAGAAAGAAAGAAAGAAAGAAAGAAAGAAAGAAAGAAAGAAAGAAAGAAGAAAAAATTGCATGATTGATATAATGGGATGTTTAAAGATGCAACCAAAAGGTTTCTAATGGATGCAAATATTCATAAACACATGGTAAGAATGACTGTGCTTTATAAATGCTCTCACATAAATTCTTGATAATATGCAAATAATGCCCCAGGGGACCTATAATGTGCTTTGCCTCAGAAGCTTAACAAACTGCTTTGTAAATTATTAGCTATTAATACTTTCTATATTAATCTTATACATTAATTCAATCTTCAAACCTTACTGTCAGCTCTTTTGCCAGTCTCCCTTCAGTCATTATTAAATACAATTTCTCATCTCTTTCTTCCTGAAAACATACCTTTTTTTTTAAACCTTTCACAAATTCTGGAACATACCAAAAGACTTCAGAAAATTCTGTCTTTGCTAGAAGATGCTGTGGCAAGTCAATCCTTCTAAAAGAATTAACTCCTTGAAATCAGTGCCTAATTAGTTTTTCCATCTTCTTTTAAAGTATTCAGTCAAGCTTTGCGCAGTGGCAGTATCGTAGCCAATGAGGTTTATCCGAGGCGCGATTATTGCTAATTGAAAGTATTCAGTCAATTTTCGAAGACTTTTGTTAAGGGAAACTTATTCCTCATCTTCATGCCCCACAAGGGGCAGTGTGGCATGCACAGTTCAGTTCACTTGCTCCTCCCTATAAAAGAGGAATGACTTACTTGATCCATAATTGGACCACATTACCTGGAGAGCACTGATCCCCATCTCAGCTGTTATGGGTTGAATCATGTCTCCCAAAAAGATGAATTGAAGTCCTAACCCCCAACACCTGTGAATGTGGCCTTATTTTGAAATAGGGCATTTGCATAGGTAGTCGCGTTAAGATGGAGTCATTAGAGTGGACCCTAATCCAATATGACTCATGTTCTCATAGGAAGAGAAGAAACACAGATGCATCTACAGGCCAAGCAATGCCAAGGATTCCTAGCAAACACCAGAAACTAGGAGAGGTAAGGAAGGATTCTCTCCTGCAAGTTTCAGAGAAAGCATGGCCCTGCTGATACTTTGGTTTTGGACATTTTGCCTCCAGATCTATGAGAGAATAAAGGTCTGTTTTCAGCCACCAGTTTGTGGTAGTTTATTGCAGTGATCCCAGCAAGCCAGTATGCCACCCTTGCTCTCTCTTCCTCCTCCATCTGCCTCTTGAACCCAGGGATGGTGAAGCTCTGTTCTGACCAAGTCTCACCTTTCATATACAGCTCTCACCTGTGGCAAAACCAGGCAAATCAGAGTCATGAAAAGTCCTAAAGATTTAGGTTGTGGGAGGGAGATCCCTCTCCTCTCTCCTACCCAAATCTGTCATTATTAGAGCTGCTCCAGACTTTGCTCCATTTTTTTCCTTGTGTTTTTCTGGCTATAACATAGAGGCTCCTACCATTTGGTTATAATACACTGTCACACCTTTATCACCTGCCTACTCCCTATACTGGTTAACAAGCTAGTGTCAGCCACAAATCTCCCCTTGTAATCTCTGTTCTGTGTGTCCTGCTGTTCATTCCTGCTTGCTTCTCTATTCAAGCAATGCCATCATCCTGAATAACTTCAATATCCTATGACAACCCACCCAGCAGCCTTGGCCTCTTAGGTCCTCTTAGGTCCACCTCCATGTTCTGCTTCACTGCATCTGGATTTATCGCTCAACTGTAACTACCCTTCCACCATCATTTCTCCCCTGGACTAATATTTGTCCTTGCCCCCCTCCAATCCAGTCCACACAACAGCAGGGAACGCTTTTCACAATTCAGGTCACTCTGAACATGTCAACCTTCTTCCTAAAAGTAATTCATAAATAAAATATAGAGATATGGAGAACAGAATAATGGTTGCCAGGTTAGGGAAGGGGGTTAGAGTGTGTGGCTATATAGGGGTAGTTTGAGAGAGCCTGGGGGTATTGGGACAGTATCTTGATTGTAGTTGTCAAGTGAGTCTACACATGTGATCAAATTGCACAGAACTGGGGGGACACACACAAATGAGTACATATAAAACTGGATATCTGAACAAGCTCTCTGGGTTGTATCAATGTTAATTTCTTGATTATAATATTGTACTATAGTTAAGGAACATGTTATGTTGAAGAAAAATGAGTGAAGAGTACACTGGACTTTCTTGTACATTTTTGGGGGGAACTTCTTTTGAATCTATAATTATATACCCAAAAAAAGTTAAAAAAAAATATATCAAGCTGTCATTCCTGGCATTGTGTTAGAAGTTGAAGACAGAGTCATGAGCAAAGCAGACCATATATCTTACCTCATATCATTGAGAAAGGGCAGTTGGGAGTTGACCATGGTTCCTATCACTCTTAGAACAAGCCAGAATTCTGAACAAGGCCTTATAGTCTCCCTGATGGTCCCTGTCAACCCCAAAACCTCACCTCCTACCACCCTTCGCCTTCATTCGCTGCCCTCGAGCCATGCTGGCTTTCCCAGATGCCTTAGCATGCAATAGGCTTCCGCTGTGACGTGCCCTCCAACTCATCCACCTCTGAGCAGTCTCCCGTGAGTCCTAGACCTCATCGAGCCCCCTTTTACAGGCTTTCCTGCCACCTTAAACCTTTTCTTCAGAGGTGAAACATAGCTAATCTTCCCTATCATATTATGGGAATCAATGTTTTTTTCTACTCATGATTAAATCCTCAGTACCACACACAGTGGCTGGAACCTAAGAGTCTCTCAGTCTGAATTTTTTAAATGAGCAAATGACTGGAAGAGCTTTAAGTACAAGAAGGAAACAGTCTGAATCACCTTTGTTAAAATGAATTTTTTATATTTTAGAGTATCTATAGAATTACAGAATAATTACAAAGGTAGTAAAGAGTTTTGATATGCTCTACATGCAGTTTCCCTTATTATTAACATCTTATGTTACTATGGTAGATTTGTCACAATTAATGAGACAATATTGATACATTATCATTAACTAGAGTCACTATTTTATTCAGATTTCCTTGGTTTTTCTCCCTAATGTCTTTTTCTGTTCTAGGATTCTTTCCAGTACACAACATTAACAATTAGTTGTCATGTGTCTGTAGACTCCTCTTGGTTGTGACAGTTTCTCAGACATTCTTTGTTTTTAATGACTTTGAAAGTTCTGAAGATTATTGGTCAGATATTTTGCAGAGTTTTCCTCAACTGGAACTTTTAAAAATATTTCTCTCATGATTAGACTGGGTAATATAGTTTGGGGGGAGGAAGACCACAGAGGTAAAGCACATTCTCAGCACATCACATCAAGGATACCTATATCAACATGACTTATCACTCTTGATGTTGACCTTGATCATCTGGGCACAGGGAACGTTTGTCAGGTTTTTATACTGTAAAGTTACTCCCCACACTTTCCATTCTATGCTCTTTGGGAGAAAATCACTATATGCAGCCCACACATAGGAAGTAAATGTTGTGCTCCCTTTCCTTAAAGGCAGAGTTATCTACATAAATTACTTGGAATTCTTCTGCTTAAGAGATTTATATCTTTTCCACTACTTACTTACTTATATATTCAACCATTTATATAAACATGGATTGTGGGTATTTATGTTTGGGATTATATATAACATGGTTTTGTTGCTCAAATGATTCCAGCTCTGGCCATTGGGAATTCTTTCAGTTGGCTCTTGTGTCCCTTTGACTTATCTCCATTATAGTGGAGAATTTTTTTTTTGAGCACTTCCTTACTTTATGGCACTACAAGATGTTCCAGGTTCATTGGTATATTTCCAATTTGAGACCTAGATTCACCCATTCTCCAGGATCTCTGGTTCCTTCTACTGAAGAATATTAGAATGCAAAATCTAAAGAGTGGGTGTGCTTGTTGTCACTGGGAGCCATTGCTGGGAGTCCCTCTCAGCTGACAGGGAAAGGAAATACATGTGTGTACACTAACCTGAGTGCATTTCCTATCTATAGATATTTCTATATATAACTATATTTAAGAGAAACATGAGTTCATACTGAGGTCTCCAATTCCAATCCATTACCACATAGATCCTTCTAGCCTCCTTATCTCGCTTATCTGTAACCTCCTACTCCTACAGTGAGAAACCTAACTTCTGCCATTTACCTAAGTTACTTGTTTAATTCCAGTATACATGTAGAGTGGCTTCAGACTAGTTAACCCATACCCCCAAGAAACAACTTTATCCACTAGAATATCTATATTCTGCTTATTCTGTTCTTTGTGCCTTTAGTCTTTACAGATACACACAGTGACATCAAGTGATTTGTCAGGAAAGCTGCTTGAAGAAGAACAAATTCCATAGCCAATCACTTCACCTTGTTGATATTATTCCTATGACAATAATATTGCATGGGTTGCTATGTTATTCTGCACACTTTTCCACTTGTCTGGAATTTCCAAAGTGGAAATTCCAAAGCCCATCCCAGGACTTCCATCATCATCGTCGTCGTCATCATCATCATCATCATTGTCATTATCATCCCAGCCTGGAGATCTCTCTCTCTCTCTCTCTCGGCCTTTTAGGGAAATTAGCATCTGTAAAAATTAATGACAATCATGTGTTATTTTGACTCCTGTTGTATCATGATGTGTTACTGAATAATCTAAAATTTAATTATTCATGTACACGTAGTCCTCACTTTGCATGGTAGTGTAGGACAGTAAAAATGACTGTACAACCTGAAACGTGCAAAGTAATTCTAATTATAAGTGGAAAAATATGATTTTTCAATGACATTTACTAATATTTGTCAAAACATTTAAAATTCTCTTACTGTCAGTTGCAAATACACAGGAAAAGAAGTAGTGAAACTAAGTACTTAGTACACTATAATGTAAAACACTAGAAATATTGATAATTAAAGTGCTGGGTTTTTTTCAAGACTGATCAAGAATATTTTGAACAGTAATTTCTTTCTCATTTAGAACTGATGATATGGAGAAACTAACTTTTCTATGCCTTGGTGAATTGTCTCCTCCTTTCTAAGGTTGGGTGACTTCCAACATTTTCTCCTTATTCTTTCAAATGTTGTAAAATTCATCTCAGAGTTTTTAAAACACAAAGTGGTTTTTTGCTGGTGTTAACTTCCTTTGGGACACCTTCATTTTTTATTTTTATCACAACTACTTTCCTCATTTATGTCTGTAATTTTGCCTTCAGTAAATTCATCTGGCTGCACATCTGCAGTCATTCCAAAGGTGGCAGTGTTAACATTTCCATAGTCAGCTCTTTCTTCTATGAGGCCATTTATGTCCAATTAAAATTTCACTTCCATCTTTATCACTTTTTATTTCTTTGATGCACTTTCATTTCTATTGGCCAATTCTTCTTCTTGATTATCCATTTTTATAAAATGTCACATGGCCTTATCACCAAGAAACAAGGAGGCAATGCGACTGCACACTTTGCTGTCAGTGCATGAACTGAGCAAGAGGTGCATAGGGACCAATCGCCGTGATTGGTCACTGGTCATGATGCACATGTTATTTACACAGTGATTTGTGGACTTGAGAGCTGGCACCAGAGTTTGTGCTTAAGGAATTAACAGTCACTATGCCATGGTAATTGGTGGAATCCCTTTCTTTTTTGCATGCTCATATGTGTGAACCTGAGCTTTGGAAAAGATATAACTTGGTCC